TACAGGTTTTTCAGAAAACTTTTGTTTTATTAAATTCAACAACAAATATTTTAGTTTTATGGTTTTAAGTTCCTATTTTGGTCACATTTATGGTCAAACTTATATAATATGATAATAAGTCTTTATTAGTTAATGTCTTTACTAACATTAAATATTAATATAACAATACGGTAACACTTTATTTTAGGTCACAGTATTAACAAACCATTAACTAACACTAGTAGATTAATAAACTGTTCATTAGCTGTTAATTAATAGTTAGTAAGGTAGAAGCTGGGTGTTTTTGGTAGGTTTTAGGTAGTATTTGGTATGCAGGATAAGCTCATACTTTATAACTACTAATAAACAGTTAATATCCTAATAATAGGCAGGTAATAAGCCAGTAGTTAATACCATGTATTGTGACCTAAACTAAAATTTTACCAACAATACTTATTTAAAATCTAGTAATGCAATATTAAAATCCAAATTTATTCTTGTTAAGATTAGTTAATTTACTGTGAGTTAACATGAATGAACAGTGAACTACTTTGTTTCCAATAACTAATGTTAACTAGGATGAATAAATACTGTAATAAATGTATAATTTATTGTTTGATTATGTTAGTAAATACATTCATTAACCATAATACAACCTTATTTTAGGGTGACACTGTGGCTCAGTGGATAGCAAGAAGGTCGCTGGTTCGAGTCCTGGCTGGGTCAGTTGGCATTTCTGTGTGGAGTTTTCATGTTCTCCCCATGTTGGCGTGGGTTTCCTCAGGGTGCTTCGGTTTGTACTGGAAAACACCCATACACGCTCATTCGCTTATATTGAGAGATATTAAGATTAATCTCTCAGATGATATTGATTAATTAGATTGATTCGTATTGTAAAACATGTGCTGGATAAGTTGGCGGTTCTGTCCGCTGTGGCGACTCTAAATTAAAAAAGAGACCAAGCCTAAAAGAAAAGAATTGAATGAATGAATGAATATTTTTGGAACATTGAGATAATTATTTAGGAATTGTCACTGATGCACAAGTCTTTTACCTATAGTTATTTATTTGTTTATTTTCCTCTTCCTTGTTATATTGTTTTATATGCATTTCAGGCCTGTCGCCAGCCCGGTGTAAGGGATGGTTCTTTTTTCTCAAAAACTGGACCTTTTTTAGTTATACGCTTCATTTTCTGTTAAATTATGAGACTTAAATACTGCATTTAACTGACATTTTAGACAATGTTTAGCTGGATTAGCTTGTTGGATGCTTATGATAACCACACTTTTTGATATACTAAAAACATTTTCTAAAGATAAAAAATATTATATGAAAATACTTATTTTTAAAATAAAAATGTATTACATCATTAATTATAAGAAAAAAAATAGTGTTCTGTTGAAGTTTTAAATTGAAATCTGTGGTCCATTGTCATTTATTAGGCTAATAACAAAATGTCCAGCACATTTGACTTCCTCAGTCACAATTTGGCCTTTTGAATAAAAAAAAATGAATGAAAACATAATAATTACATGTAGATCTTCACGATTTTTCAGGCCTCTCTTAAAAGAAAGTACATTTGAAAATGCATGGATAACAAATAGCCAAAATAGTATTCAAATTAATATTAATATGGTCTGCTTTTGGTGCTTCATGGTCATTTGTTTCAAAGGATAAGGTCTAAAATTGTGAAGTTACTTGCAAATTGTTTACTCTATTTAAACCCAAATACAAGTCAGATTCTAAAATTAATGTTAGCATTGGCCAAAACTGATGAGCTGAAGTCCTGCCGAAGCGACAGCCAACAACAGAGGACTCCGCTTAGCCTTTTTCGGTGGGTTATTTTCATATTTGTGATGGTGTAGCGGTCAAATGAGCTCATGGATGGACCTTTGCGCTGTTGAATAACCATTTAACTGTTAGCATCATGTCCGGTTTCTGTATGTTTGTTATTTGAATGAGTTTTATTAAAACAAAAATAATAATTAAAATATAATCACAGATGTGCAGTATTACAAAATATCCATCATATGATTTCTGAGGGCAGAGTTAACGGAGCGCGTGAGTTTGGTGAATCTTCAATCGTCGCTCCTCTCATCTACTCGAGGTGCTCGCGTGATGATCACACACTTTGTACGTAATGTACATGCTATTTGGTAGCTCGTAAATCTTTTATAGGGTTTTGTCGGTGAGTTTTGATCATGTTCTGTGTTAAAAGTTTTGATGTGTAACTGGATTTTACGGCGGAACTAAAAATCGCTGGCTGTTGTTTCCGCAAGGCGGAGAATCGCCGCAGCACCAGTGTTCACCGCCTGTTTACATTTGAACTTTCTGCAGATCTGCAGGTAAATACTGGAGTAAAGACTAATATATATTATTAAACATTCAGGACATGTACACATTTAAGTATATTTAAACGCAGAAAGCGAAATGCTTGATAGAGTGTTTGTTATGTTCAGTGTTTAATGAAGAACTTGCTTCGATAATTCATAAACAGTAACACTGAAACTCACACATCATGTTTATTTCCTTAAGATGGCGTTTACCACAGCACATGCAGTAGCAAACGTGATGTATTTAGAAACCCTGTACATCGATATGAATTTATAGAACTGTAGTACATATAGTGTGTCATATAAACGTGGTTAAACGTATTTTTAGCGATGACACGCATTTACATGATACTCAGAGGACTCTATGAGAGTATCATAACGTGCATTAGATATTATAACATGTTCATATCATGATATAGAAGAATCCAAATGTATAATACGCTGAAATGACATTTGTAAATTAATTAGAAAATACAATGTAAATTAATATAATGTATAAAACTTTTGTAAATGTTACAGATATTCATTTAAACATGTATATACACTCACCGGCCACTTTATTAGGTACACCGTACTAGTACCAGGTTGGACCTCTTTGACCTTCAAAACTGCCGTAATCCTTCATGTCAGAGATTCAACAAGCTACTGGAAATATTCCTCAGACATTTTGCTCCATATTGTCATGATAGCATCACACAGTTGCTGCAGATTTGTCGGCTGCACATCCATGATGCCAATCTCCCGTTCCACCACATCCCAAAGCTGCTCTATTGGATTGAGCTCTGGTGACTGTGGAGGCCATTTGAGTACAGTGAACTCATCGTCATGTTCAAGAAAGCAGTCTGAGATGATTGAGCTTTATGACATGCTGCGTTATCCTGCTGGAAGTAGCCATCAGAAGATGGAGACACTGTGCTCATAAAGGGATGGACATGGTCAGCAGCAATACTCAGGTAGGCTGTGGCGTTGATGCTCAATTGGTACTAATGGACCCAAAGAAAATCTCCCCCACACCATTACACCACCACCACCAGCCTGAACCGCTGATACAAGGCAGGATGATCCATGCTTTCATGTTGTTGAGGCCAGATTGTGAGCCGAGCATCTGAATGTGTGAGCAGAAATGGAGACTCATCAGAGCAGCAACGTTTCTCCAATCTTCTATTGTCCAGTTTTGGTGAGTCTGT